ATTTGGTTTGCTGACGTTTAAAAGAACTGACACTGTTTATAGAGAAGAGACATTTTTTGTTGGTCACCCTTTGGAAAGGGGTGGACGTGCTGTATGATTTATTGAGAACAAAATTTGTCATGATGAAGAACAAAAAAAAAATGTGTACAATACTCGTAGTTTTTCAATGTAAAATACAAATTACTCCCCTTACCATCACTCCTTCCCCTCATTTTCAAATTGGTGTATATAGTCTTACTTTGATTTATTGTAGGAAAGTAATGTTTTGGTGATGCACATGGTCGGAGCAAATATGTGTTTTGGAATTGGTATTCTTTACTGCTATGTGCATTCCTGGATTTCATATAAAATGATGCCATTTCATGCGAGCCATCATGAATATATGGCACGTATTATATGTTCAGTTGTTGGTTCCGTCAGTTTCATATTCAGTATCCTTTTCATTTTATCTCAATTTCACATTTGCCTACTTGGGTGACCTGGTACCCAGAAAGCCCTACTAAATGATGGATGAGGGATATAAAGTGGGGATGCAGCCACTGCCTTTAATATTTATATAGCTGCGTACATATAGACTGCTAAAGAAAAATTGCCAGTATGAAAATTATCTAACAACAGTAACAAATGCAAATCATAGAGCAGCATTAACAAAATTGAGAATTAGCGCCCATAATTTAGAAATAGAGAAAGGACGATACAAAAAAATCCCTTGCAGTGGTAGAAAGTGCACTGGTTGCGACCAAAATGAGAGTGAAGATGAAAATGCATTTCTTACTTGAATGCAATAACAACCAAAAAATAACAAAACTAGGAAGCTACATCTATAATTGTTTCAGTGCCAGAGAAAATCATTTCAAAAAACTACCAGCTGCTCCTAAATAAATAAACTATTTCTTTCTTTTTTTTTATTCTTTTCAGTTTTAGCGCTCCCATTTTGTTACTTTCTCAGTTTTTTTGTCTTTATTATAATTTTTTTTTTTCTGAGTCAATATCCAAATAAGGATATGATTATACAATAAAGATTATTAGTCCCCGTTCGGATGCAGTCCGAAAACGGGGACTTATGTTTTGACCTCCGTGTGTCCGTGCGTGCGTCTGTGCGTGCATCCGGACCTGTATCTTAGAAATGCCTGAATCAATCACAATCAAACTTCACACATACATCATACATGATATTATACATATGCACGTCAATTTGTTTCATGATCTGATTCAAGATGGCCGAATGGCGGCCATTTTTGTGCTAAAAATCATCAAAATCAAGCATTTCTCGGCTGTTTACAGATGGATTTTGTTCAAACTATATACATTAGACATTATAGGACCTTGATGCACATCATTTTGTTTTAAGATCTGATTCAAGATGGTCGAATGGCGGCCATTTTTGTGCTAACAAATCCTAAAAATCAAGCATTTCTCGGCTGTTTACAGATGGATTTTGTTCAAACTTGGTATATACATTAGACATTATAGGACCGTGATGCACATCATATTGTTTTACGATCTGATTCAAGATGGTCAAGGGCGGCCATTTTTGTGCTAAAAAATCCTAAAAATCAAGCATTTCTTGGCTGTTTACAGATTGATTTTGTTCAAAC